GTATTCATGGGAGTCGCTCGTCCCAGCCTGAGGGAGATGGCAGAGGTTGGGAGCTGTGGGGAGCTCTCCACAACTCACCAGCCCCTGAGGTGAACTCCCCCACCAGCTCACTGCCAGCCCCTGAGTTGTGCTCCCAGCATTTGCAAATTTCGCCATTCACAGTGGTGCCAGGAATGCATCCACTGCGAATGGCAAGGGTTTCCTTTACTTAAATTGTGTCAATATTTTTGCCCTGGAAATAACCCACAGCACAAATGCTGTTACTGTTAGGATGTTGGAACAATTTTTATAGTATGGACTGCTGAGAGCCATTGAACCAAACTGTGAACCCTGTGTATAATGGACACCTTTTCAAGTCAGAGGGTGCTGCAGAAACCCCCGGGTGTATCTACCCCACACAGTTATTTCGGAATAACGGCCATTATTCCAAAATAACTATACGAGCATCTACACAGCAATTCTGTTATTTTGAAATAATTTCAAAATAATGGACAGCTCATTCTGACTTCTGTAAACCTCATTCTAGGAAGAACGTCTCTCCCGAAACAGCTATTTTGAAATAAGGTGTGTGCAGACGCTCCACTTCTGCTATTTTGAAATAGCCCCTCACCAGGGCCATTTTAAGTTATTCTTCTGGGGTTCTAAATCGAGGTAGCATGTCTACATTCAGGAAGCCTGCCTAGGACTAATTTTGAGGCTTCCCTGCAGTGCAGACATGCTATTTTGAAATAAGCTATTTTGGAATAACTATTCTGGAATAGTTTATTCTGATATAACTCTGCAGTGTAGATGTGGCCCCCGCAGCCCTACTTCCAGCACCTTTGGTTATTGTTAAATATCAAACAATCCAAAAGGCCCCACAAATCACCTTCTCAAATGTCAAATAGGCAGCATTTGTACCCACCAACAAAATTAAATGCTGAGGTAAAACATGCCTGGAGGCTTAGTCTGAAAATCTGGCTATAGGTAACTGCATATAAATTAAGGCCGGGAACTAGCAGTAGGCTTATTTTCATCAGTTGAAAGCTATGGCGAGGTACCACCTGTACCCCTTTGCTTTGAAATAACCTTTATATGTTGATCTTCAGAGCTTTTGCGACGGGAATGTTACTTAAGACATAATGCTGAGGAAGGGGCATGTTATTGTCAGCTTCCATCAGTTATTGCTGTCTATGATCATTTGTGATTTTTAAATAATTCCTAAGGGTGCCCAGAAACTGATAGCTGCTAACTCTGTTTTATGAATTTTAATAAATAAAGGTGGAATAAGGTACAAATCAATATGAAAGAAAGTGGCAGAATTGAGTCATTACCAGCTAATATACAAATTTCATAATGAGCCTCTCCACCATTAATGCAAATTACTGAGGTTCAACTGTATATGGCAACACAAACAAGTTAAGGCTCAAAAGCTTCAGAGGGGTGGCCGAGTTAGTCTGTAACCGGAAAAACTTAAAAAACAACAAATAGTCTAGTCGCACTTTAAAGACTAACAATATATATATATAGACAGTATCATGAGCTTTTGTGGGCAAAACCCACTTCTTCAGATAACCGGAATATCTGAAGAACTAGGTTTTGCCCACGAAAGCTCATACCATCTACATGTTTTGTTAGTCTTTAAAGTGCTACTAGACTATATGTTGTTTTTTAAATTTAAGGCTCACTGAGACATACTAATGAGTTCCAAAGTATGAAGCAGTGTGAGGTTGCCTCACTCTGCATTACCCCAGCGTACTGAAAGCAAATGCCTCCAAAGCTGCTCTCCTCTGGTGGCAGAATAAATGTCAGAGAACACCGGGAGTGGGCAGGGTTATCCCCACATGCTCTAATAACAGAATGGAGTGAATTACAGAACTGACGTCTGCAAGTGTTTTTACCAAAAAAATATTGGAAACATTGGAATGTCAGGTATTTGTAAAGAGATTCTGGCTCACTCTAAAATATGTAGGGGAAAACAAGCTAAGGGACTCTGTTTTAATCAGTTGTGCCTCTGCCTTTAACCTTCTGGAGTCTGATTCAAAACTTCAGCTGGATGATCACTGCCTTTTTGCTTCCTTAAATCTTATGGGTTTTTTTTTTAAAGTGGGAATAGTAACCAAGTCTGCCAGTGATGTCTTATTACTGGGGCCAATTTAATTAGGAAGGAAATTATAACACTGGCCTGGAAACTGCTAACTTTCACTTTTGACAGAAGGGATACAGTGGATGGAGAATGTCACAGTAATGAGCAAACTGACAATGTCATTAATTAATAAATACCAGGACGGTGTGGTGACTGGACAGCCTTACAGCAGCAATACGAAAAGGTAGAAGGTAAAACTGTTAAACTGCAGGACTTGGAAAACTTTTTGGAAGTCAAAGGTTAAACTTCATTACAGGATGCAAGCCACTTGCGTCTCAGAGCTAAGAGAATAGAGAAGATCACACAAGAAAAAACCCCCACAAACAAACAAACACCCCAAGAACCTTCTTAATAAAATACTTTGACTGTATTCATAAGAGATTTCCCCCCCTTCTCTCCTGGGGAATGTAGAAAGCAGGGGAGATAAGGGAAGGTAAAAGTAAAAACATAGGGAAAAATGAGCAACTCCAATACCCTGCATAGAGTAAGAAGCAGTATGGGTGAAAAGAAGAGATGACAAACACAATTACTGGTAAGTAATTCTCTTTACTGAGCCCACACTCCATAAAGTCACACTGAAATCCTACACAAAGCTTAATCCTAAGAGATGCTGAGCACCTACAACTCCCCTTTGAAATTAATGGGAACTGTAGCCTCCCAGCACTTCAAAGGATCAGGCTCATAATACATTATATATGCATGGAGAGAGAGAGAGAGAGCGCGAGAGAGCGCCTCAAGCTTAATTTTCAGAGATTTGGCTATGTCTTTTTCTGCTAATGAAGGAGCCTTCTACACATTTTCTAACAAGAGAACTGAGGGACCACTAGACCCTCTAGGTTAGCTGACCTCCCTCTTTAAAATGTACTTTTGTGAGTCATTCTATTATTGATCCACTTAACAGTATAATTTATTTAGGCAGCATGATAAATATATTTTAAAGAATTACTTGAAATTGAGACCTTCAATATGTATTTTATACCGTACTGTGTGTATGTGTGTGTGTGTGTGTGTGTGTGTGTGTGTGTATAAAGTTAGATTGGAAGCATCTCAAGCCAGAGAACATCTCTTTTTTACATTTGTACAATACCAAGTATACAAAAAGGTACTCCGAATCAAATAATCAGGCTTATACAAATCCAGGAACAACTGTGAGCATTTGTACAATGTCTGCATGACAAGGAAAGCCTAAGGACTTCTTGACAAGCCGTGAGGATCTTACAACTGCAGATAAAATGGCCTGATCCACATGACCTTCCATACTACACAGTAGCCACTACAGTGAAAAGGAATGTTAGCTGTTTCTGCAGAGCACCAATGAAGTTAAATTTTTTTCATCCACTACACTTAATAATGCCAATTTGGGTCAACAGCAAAACCTACAATCCATTGTATCCGAAGCAAATCTGTGCTAAAAATCAGTCCCCAGGGGAATTCCATACATGTTCTCAATAAATACTAGAGAAACTTCACCCATTAATGTCATCTACCACTGAAACCAGTTCCACACATTCACATGCAGCTGATCATCGTCCAGCTGATGAGCCACCATATGAAATGTCACTGATCAATCCAATAAGAATAAGCCTCCTCTGCCCACTGCAGTAGGCAGATTATTCATAACTGGAGAAAAGCTATTCTTAGCATTTGGAGTGTATCTGCAGTCAAACTGAAATGTATTATTAGGGCACTTCCAAATTCATGGTCCATTTTGGTTATTTTCATGGTCATAGGATTTTAAAAATCACAAATTTCACAATTTCAGCTATTTAAATCTGAAATTTCACATTGTTGCAATTGTAGGGTCCTGACCCAAAAAAGAGTCGTGGGGAGGTGGCAAGGTTATTGGAGGGTGCGGTATTGCTATCCTTACTTCTGTGCTGTTACTGGTGGTGGTGCTGCCTTCAGAGCTGGGCAGTTGGGAGTCCAGCTGTAAAGGCAGAGCCACTGCTAGCAGCAGTGCAGAAGTTAGGCTGATATGGCGTGGTATTGCCACCCTTACTTCTGCACTGCTGTCTGCAAAGCCGGGCCCTCAGTCAGCAGTCGCCACTCTCTAGCCATCCACTCTGAAGGCAATAAAGCAGAAGTAAGGGTGGCATGGTATGTTATTCCTGGCCCTTATTTCTAGGCTGCTGCTAGCAGGGTGCTGCCTTCAGAGCTGGGCACTTGGCTAACAGCCACTGCTCTCCAGCCACTCAGCTCAGAAGAGTGCACAGAAGTAAGGGTGGCAATATGATGACAGACATTAAATAACCTTGCAGCCTCTCTGCAATTCCCTTTTGGTCAGGGCCCCCAGTCTGAGAAACGCTGGTCTCCCTTGTGAAGTCTGCATAGTGTAGAGCAGCAGTTCTCAAATCAGAGCAACCTGAGTACCCCCATTTTTATTTACAATTTTGGGGGGATTCTGAAGCTGACCTCTAATTTTGCCCAGGGGTGTTCCCCACTCCACCTTTTCTCCCAAGGCCCACCTCTGCTCCACCATGCCCCTCTTTTCCTCTCTCTCACCTCTCTGTCCCCCTCCCTGAGTGCCCCCATCCCTGGCTCCTCCCTCCCAGTGCCTTCTGCATGGTGCTGAACAGCTGTGCCAAGATGTATAAGAGCTGCTGGAAGGGAGGGAGAGGAGTTGGATCAATGAGGCTGGTGACCCTCAACATGACTCATGGACCCCCTGGAGCACCCTCTCTGGGGATCTCAGTTTGAGAACATCTGGAATAGGGCAAAAGCACACAAAGACCATATTTTGTGGTCAGAGATGCATTTTTATGGCTGTGAATTTGGTAGGGACCTATTTATTATATGCATCAGTACTTTCTGAGTTGCATATCATCGAGTTGCATGCATTGTCTTAGAACCAGAAATGATAGCATTTATCACTCACTTCTAGCAGGAGTCCACCTTCTGGTATAGTAGTTTCACTGGATTGGTAGTCTTTTATTGTGTGACCAACTTGCTTCCTACAATGTTTTTCTTGGATGGCTGTTGAAACAAAGTAATTAACAATATAAATAATACTGGTGAGGACTTTTAGTTACTTAAAACTTACTGTTGGTCCTAGGAAAAGAAACACATATTTTACAGCCCAGATGGTTTTTATATAAAGTTCTTTCCTTGATGGTCATTATACCTATCACATTATTTTTACCAAATGTGTTTTTCCATTATTATACTCTACTTACAAAAACAAAAACATAGGAAAGTAGCAGAAAAGATAACTGACATGTTGCCAAGCGGCTTTTGTTTATAAAAGAATACATGTTATGAAAATTATAACTAGTGGCAATAGTATTCAGAAGATATTCTGAAGGGTTACATGATATAAGTTTTTTATTTTCTGTTTTGACTTCTTGTTTGGCATGAAATGATCTTGCCCCCCTCACTTCTAAGAATTTGAGATTAACTCTCAGACTCGCATGCATTTTCCTGAAATGCCTTTTTTCAAATTTGAAGCCAAACTTTGAAAAGCTCTCTCTGGTACTATCAAGAGGCTTGATGGAAACACAGGGAGATTACTTTGGTTGACCGTTTTTCCCATTTATGAGCTGTAATTATTGTTTCTGAAATATTTTTGGATAATCAGATTTAAGTCCCTTCTGGAATAAATATGCAGCTGAATCCCTGACAGAGTGATGATTTCAGATGCATTCTGAGTTTTGAGAAGAGTGGAAGAGACATCCAGAAGACAGAGTTGATTAAACCCATCATCTGCTAGAAGAGACTCTGGATCATTTGAGGGAGTACAGCTTGCAAAGCAAACCTTGTGATTCTATCAATAAGTAATGAAGTTAAAGATTCAACTTCATTATCACCGCTGGGCTTTTCATTATTTGACCTGGATCTTCTTGAAACAGCCATGATGGCTTACTGAGATGGGACGTTCACCTCTGTTAAAACATACCATACGTCTCTCTAATATTCAGTCTGCAAGGAAATACACTACTTGGTTCTGCTCTTTTGATGCAAAGGGACACTGAGAAGGGACTGCTACTAAGTGGACACAAAGCAGTAGCTTCATATAATCAACTCCAATCAACTCATAGGTGCTTAAACTATGGGTCATGGGGGTCCTGCCGCACCCCCTGGCTTGAAGTGGATTTCATTATATACAAGATTTACAGTTTGGTTCAGTAGCTCTCAGGAAGCACACTATAAACATTGTTTCAGCACCCCTGCATGAGCCTGTAGTAACAGGAATGGGTTAAAAACTTCAAAATAGGGATGAAAGAATCTAATTAATTCTTCATAACATATATAAGTCCTGGAATGTTACCTGTCTCTTTGCTAAATGTAGCGATAACAACTAGATGTGATTTTTTTTAGTAAGACCCCAGAGTAAAAAAATTGACTGACTAAAAATGTTCATGGATTTAACAGTATTTTTTGGACTACACCCTTTGTCATTTTTCAGTCTATTGGAGGGCTTTTTCCTCATTACAATAGACTTCAGATCTGGCCCTTAACCTGAGGATCTGTAAAGAGTCAAGAGGCAAGTTCTCTTTTCATAACATATAATGATGACGCAGAACCACAGTAACAGTGTTCCCTGGAAGCTTGTGCAGCCGCTTAGGAGAGGTTCGTATGCTGCCCAGATGATTAGTGGAATGCTCACAGCTAAGTTTTATTTCTATCAATGGTACACATTTGCACATGCCTGGATATACGCATGAATGGGAAAAAAAAATCTACAGGTGGACGGAAAAGATTAGAGGGAACATTGCACAGTAGTGGAAGTTTAAGAAATTTGAATTCTTCAGATTATGAACATTTACTGCTGATGATACTGTGGACTCTTAATTTCCTCAATTATAATCTCAAGTATAGATAATGAATTCCTCACCTGAGTTGTGGGAAACATACTAGACTACCCCAGAACTACATGGCCATGTCTACACTATGCAGAAGATCGATGCTGCCAGTGTCAATCTTTCAGGGTTCGATTTAGCACGGCTAATGAACACCTGCTAATTTGAACTGAGAAGGCTCTCCCATTGGCCCCAGTAGACCTGCTCCTCATGAGGAGTAAGGCATGCCGATGGGAGTGTTTTCTCCCATCAACCTCTTGCTGTATGGATGGCATGAAAACGTGATTTAAGATATGGCAACGCCAGCCACGTAATTAATGTAGCTGGAGTTGCTTATCCCAAGTCACCCTTCCCCATTAGTATAAACCTGGCCCATGAAACAGGACTGAGACTGAGTTTCAATGAAAGACTTCCAACCACCCTGATTTCATGTTTTCAACCCCGTAAACCATTGTGCAACATGGATGTTAAACTTCTTATGCCTCTGGACAGGTGCTCATTTTTAGGGGATGGGTTGTTGTCGTCTGTGTTGGTCTACATGAATTTTTTTCATGCCCCTGCTCAACTGAGCTTGCACCTATGATTAGTAAGGTCTGCCATAATTCCATTTGCAACTGAGTGTTACAGAGAAGCTGTAACTGCAATTTCTGAAAGCAGAGCTTCCATCCCATTTCTCTCCTAGCACACAAAAGTACATTTTCGTTATTCTCTGCACAGAGGCTCATTACCTTTATGTGGGTTAAAGGACAGACAAGGAATGGCAAGAGGAAATGAAGATTTATTTTTATGGGTTCTTGTGGCATTGTCAAACATTCCACTGGGGCTAGCTCCATCTTTAAGAGGAAAGCATGATTTTATTTCATTGAGCAGAGCATGGCTCCCTGCCTGTTTGTTAGCACAAATACAGCAGAGGCACAAGAGATGTTTGTTCCACCATCCATCTAGAATTCATTACATATCCAAATATAAAATATTATAGTGTCATTTCACTTTCACGTACATTTGGCCACACCCACTGTTTCATAACACATTGTACACAGTGCCTCAAAATGTAAACAGACCCATAGCAGCAGCCAGGGCAGCCTTCCTTATGTCAATAAGCAAAAACCATTCCCTGTACTTGGATCAAAATCACTTCCTCATCACTATATACTCCCCCCTCAGGGGAGAAGGCACTGTGTTAAAATAAAATATGAATGTAAAATCCTTAAGTGGTACCATCCCAACAGGAACGCAGGGATCAATTACTAATGCACAGGGAGCTCGGAAGAGAAGCTAATGCGGATGACAGCATATCACTGATGAAGGCAGCAAATATGGAGTCTCAGGGTACGTCTAAACTACATGCCTCTGTCGGCAGAGGCATGTAGATTAGGGTTGTAGGCAAAGGTAAATGAAGCCGCGATTTAAATGATCACGGCTTCATTTACATTTACATGGCTGCCGCGCTGAGCCGACAAACAGCTGATCAGCTGTTTGTCGGCTCGCGCGCTAGTCTGGACATTCCCCCTGTCGACATCAAAGCCCTTTGTCGGCAGCCCCGGTAAAACTCATTCCACGAGGAATAACAGGGCTGCCGACAAAGGGCTTTGATGTCGACAGGGGGAATGTCCAGACTAGCGCGCGAGCCGACAAACAGCTGATCAGCTGTTTGTCGGCTCAGCGCGGCAGCCATGTAAATGTAAATGAAGCCGTGATCATTTAAATCGCGGCTTCATTTACCTTTGCCTACAACCCTAATCTACATGCCTCTGCCGACAGGAAGAGCCTTTGTGAGGAAGAGCAAGACATATTATAGAGTATAAAGGAGAAATTAAAAATATTACCCTGTTGGGAATAACAAGTAAACAAAGCAAGAGTTAACCTCTGGTTTTTCAGGAGCCCAGCTGATGGCAATGGACAGATTAGACTTATCAGTGACTAGAGTCAGGCAAATTTCTTAGACAAACTTTACATAGAAAAATAAATATCGGTAGGGGTCTGAAAGTATTTCCCAATATTAGGTTAATCTGATGAAGTTTCAGTTGGGAATATTTAAAAAAAAATTGAGTCAAACTATTTTTTTTGACCATTTTGAAACATTTTGTTTTGACCTTCATTTGAAACTGCTTTTTGGTTTTAAAAGTGCCAGATTTAACACACACACACACACACACACACACACACACACACACACACACACACACACAAAGAAGGGTCAAAAACAAAGTTCCCTCTACTTTTTTTCCATTCAGGTGCAAAATAATTTTTGTTATGTGCACCAAGGTATGTGCACATGTGCACCATCAATAGAAACATACGCTGCCGGCGTGGGTGCTCTGCTAATCAGCTGGGCAGCATCTGCATATCTTCTGGGCAGCTCTCCAAATACTCAGCTTACAGGGACACTGGTGAAAACAGCTGAAACAGCCCAATCAAAATGAAAACCCAAGAAAAAACTGTTTTGATTGACTTTAAACTGATAAAAAAACACACAAATAATTGTTTCAGATCAACTTGAAGTGTTTTGGTGGATTCAGTTGAGACTTTTCAATTTGATGAAAAATTTTAAAAGGTGTTCATTTTTTTTCCAGATTCAGATTTTTGAAATAAAAAAAATCCATTATTCACTCAGCTCTACCAAGGACTGAATAGTAAGAATTGAACAGGAATCACTACAGAGAAAGAGGGAAGTGATTTTGGTTTGTGATTTAATAGAGAGAGTGTTGTTCTGAGACTCATGTGGCCAAATGTGATAAATAGCATGCAGCCTCCATGGATGTAGGACAAATGATGTAACCAAAAGAACAAAACTGTGCCCCAAGAATACCAGGGAAAAATCCTCTTGATCTTGTGCATGTGGAAAAAGATTTGGGGAGATTTAATACAAATCAAGGATGAGGGAGGAATCCAGAATTTAAACCTTGTTGGAGTTTTACTTAATACCAAGATCAATAGAAGGGGGTGGGGAGGGGAGGGGGAATGTTACTGGAGGCAAATTGATGGCGGTATCAGCAGTGTCAAGAAGTGGGGTTTTGATTTATGGAGCCTGGAAATGCTGTCCGTGAAAAGACGCAACTGTTTGGATTAGGTTGGAAGTGGACAGAGGGGGAGCTTTTGCTTAGCACAAATTATCTATTTCCAACATACAAAATAAAACAGAAGATGGAGCTGTTTAGCAAAAGAAGATGCAAATAA